TAGTGTCTCAATGGCATAAGACACTACCTTAAGTGAGCATCACTCCATCATCATATATAAAAGGCACAATTGCATCATTCATAGAGATTGAGAAGAGGGATCCCTGGAAAATTATGCATAGATATCTGACAATCTAGCTATATAAGTCATCCTCGTCAGCTCCGCCAGCGGCTGTCGCAAATGGGTCAGATCCAGAAACCCCAGTTCCTGCCTCTGCAAATCGGAATTCAGTTCCAAAACCCCGAGACTGCTGCAAGGTCTGCGCAAATGCCTGGTATTTACGTATGTCAGCATCACTCACGCTTCTACGAGCATACTTCATGGACTCCTCAAAATGAGCAGCCTTGATCTCCGCCACTTCATCGTCAGCATCCTCCTCCATAGAGTCAGGATTCTCCTTCCCCTTCCTCTCCCTCTCTATATCCTGCATTAAGGCAGAACTTTCATCAAGTGATTTCTGCGAGTTGACATATATTGACTCAATTAATAACATATATTTGACTCTGTAGATAGCAACATCAATTCATACAAATCGAAAGAGTAATATGTAGATTATGGCGGAGATGTTATGAGAGAAGAAAGAAAATCAGAGTGTCAATGATCGGGAAGTATAACCGAGTAGTTGACTCGAACTAATAGCAACCAACCTGGATTAGGTTTGGCCACTTTGACAACGCACATAAGTAAAAATGCACAAACCACAACCCCACACCATGCTTAGTTTGTAATTCCATTTGCACTCCAATTTGTTGAGTATAATCAGGTTTCAGGAAATCACAAGAGATCAAGTTCATTTGAGAACTACTATAGAACATGCCCGCCAAAACTTGGACCAAACCATGTGCATATTCAAGGTGAAAAAGAGTAATATTCTACAACAATTTCAAGGTGAAGAGAACCAAGAGTCAGCATAGATGTCACCATAATGCAAGCGGAGATCAATTACTACAAATGGTAGCAGAGTTTTCAAAGCACTCCAAAGACAAGTGGTATGCCTATTAGTAATGTAGGTAGGGAGAGAGAGAGTGGAATGTAATTTGCTGGTTAGCAAAAGAACACAAGTTTGCAGATGGTTATGCAGAAAAACAAGTCAACAAAAATAGGTCATTCCATAAATTTCTCAGAAATACAAATGAAATGACACATCAAGCAAGAGGTGCAGAACCATACTTTCTCAATGTTCTCTCTTATGGCATACTTGCAAGCCCGCTGGCATATCTCTGTAATATCAGCCCCACTGAAACCCTGAGTATACTTGGCAAGAGCTCTCAAATCAACATCTTTGGAGACGGGTGATTTTCTCAGGCATGACTTGAAAATCTGATAACGGGAATCTTCATCTGGCAGAGGGATATATATTAACTGATCAAGGCGGCCTGGCCGCAGAAGTGCAGGGTCAATTATGTCAGGCCTATTAGTGGCCCCAATTATGAAAACAGTCTTCTTAGCAGACATGCCATCCATCTCAGTCAGAAGTTGATTCAAAACCCGATCAGCAGCACCACCTGCATCTCCAACACTGTTTCCCCTCTGTACCAATAACAAGAAACATTAATTGCAAGCTGTGACAAAGAATTCAACATCAACAGTTTATTACCACAAGAAATTTCAAAGAATTCGACAAAAATTAACCACAAGATGGAGGATTTTAAATGTTGGGCATCAACAGTTTATTACTACAAGAAATTTCAACCTTCATTCAAGTTTCAATTTGGATGTTTCAAAAAACTATACCGACCTAAGGTAAACAGTAAATTAAAAAAAAACTAAGATAAACAGAGAGTATGAANCAACATCAATTCATACAAATCGAAAGAGTAATATGTAGATTATGGCGGAGATGTTATGAGAGAAGAAAGAAAATCAGAGTGTCAATGATCGGGAAGTATAACCGAGTAGTTGACTCGAACTAATAGCAACCAACCTGGATTAGGTTTGGCCACTTTGACAACGCACATAAGTAAAAATGCACAAACCACAACCCCACACCATGCTTAGTTTGTTATTCCATTTGCACTCCAATTTGTTGAGTATAATCAGGTTTCAGGAAATCAGAAGAGATCAAGTTCATTTGAGAACTACTATAGAACATGCCCGCCAAAACTTGGACCAAACCATGTGCATATTCAAGGTGAAAAAGAGTAATATTCTACAACAATTTCAAGGTGAAGAGAACCAAGAGTCAGCATAGATGTCACCATAATGCAAGCGGAGATCAATTACTACAAATGGTAGCAGAGTTTTCAAAGCACTCCAAAGACAAGTGGTATGCCTATTAGTAATGTAGGTAGGGAGAGAGAGAGTGGAATGTAATTTGCTGGTTAGCAGAAGAACACAAGTTTGCAGATGGTTATGCAGAAAAACAAGTCAACAAAAATAGGTCATTCCATAAATTTCTCAGAAATACAAATGAAATGACACATCAAGCAAGAGGTGCAGAACCATACTTTCTCAATGTTCTCTCTTATGGCATACTTGCAAGCCCGCTGGCATATCTCTGTAATATCAGCCCCACTGAAACCCTGAGTATACTTGGCAAGAGCTCTCAAATCAACATCTTTGGAGACGGGTGATTTTCTCAGGCATGACTTGAAAATCTGATAACGGGAATCTTCATCTGGCAGAGGGATATATATTAACTGATCAAGGCGGCCTGGCCGCAGAAGTGCAGGGTCAATTATGTCAGGCCTATTAGTGGCCCCAATTATGAAAACAGTCTTCTTAGCAGACATGCCATCCATCTCAGTCAGAAGTTGATTCAAAACCCGATCAGCAGCACCACCTGCATCTCCAACACTGTTTCCCCTCTGTACCAATAACAAGAAACATTAATTGCAAGCTGTGACAAAGAATTCAACATCAACAGTTTATTACCACAAGAAATTTCAAAGAATTCGACAAAAATTAACCACAAGATGGAGGATTTTAAATGTTGGGCATCAACAGTTTATTACTACAAGAAATTTCAACCTTCATTCAAGTTTCAATTTGGATGTTTCAAAAAACTATACCGACCTAAGGTAAACAGTAAATTAAAAAAAAACTAAGATAAACAGAGAGTATGAAGAAATTACCTGCGTAGCTATAGAGTCAAGCTCATCAAAAAAAAGAACACATGGTGCAGATTGCCTTGCCTTGTCAAAAATTTCTCGAACATTGGCTTCACTTTCCCCAAACCACATAGTGAGCAGTTCAGGTCCTTTAACACTAATGAAGTTGGCTTGACATTCATTTGCAATTGCCTTAGCCAGTAGAGTTTTCCCACATCCAGGTGGACCATAGAAAAGAACCCCTTTTGAAGGTGACATACCAAATTTCTCAAACTTCTCTGGATGCTCCACAGGATATTGAACAGTCTACAAAATGAGAGATTCAGAACAAACAAAAAGTTGTCACATCAGAGATGTTGCAAAGAATAGATCTTGAACCTAATTCAATGGTTTTAATTACCTCTTGAAGCTCCCGCTTAACATTCTCAAGGCCACCAATGTCTTCCCAGCTAACATTGGGCACTTCAACAACCTGCTCATTAATTCAAAAATCATAGAATTCAAT